ACTAGTAGCAGATGAAGTAGTATTAGTACTACTAGTAGTAGTAGTAGTAGTAGTAGTAGTAGTAGTAGCAGTAGCAGGAGTAGTTGTAGTAGTAGTAGTAGTAGTAGTAGTAGTAGTAGTAGTAGTAGCAGTAGCAGCGACACAAGCAGTAGCAGTGGGAGTAGAAGTAGCCGTCGTCGTAGAAGTAGTAGTGCTCGTAGTAGTATTAGCACGAGTAGCCGTCACAGCAGTAGTAGTACTACTAGTAGTAGCAGCAGTAGTAGTAGTAGTAGTAGTAGTAGTAGTAGTAGTAGTCGTAGTAGTAGTAGTAGTAGTAGTAGTAGTAGTAGTAGTAGTAGTAGTAGTAGTAGTAGTAGTAGTAGTAGTAGTAGTAGTAGTACAGAGAAGTAGTAGTAGTAGTAGTAGTAGTAGTAGTAGAAGTAGTAGTAGTAGTAGTAGTAGTATAGAGGTAGTAAGTATTAGTAGATAATAGTAGTAGTAGTAGTAGTAGTAGTAGTAGTGTAGTAAGTAGTAGTAGTAGTAGTAGTAGTAGTATCTCCGGGGGCGTCTTCGGCGCCTCTTGGGGCCTCTTGGGGACCTCTTGGGGGTATCTTTGGGGCCTCATGGAGGCCTCGTGGTGCCTCCTGGGGACCTCTTGTGGGCCATGTGGGGACTTCTTGGGGCCATATGGTGGACCTCTGGGGGCCCTCTTGGGGGGCTTGTATGAGCGCTGCCCCTCCTCCTGGTGTGACTCGTTCGGGCTCCTCGTGGTGTGAGTCGTTCGAGACCCGCGTCGTGGTGTGAGTCGTTCGGGCTCCTCGTGGTGTGAGTCGTTTCGGGCTCCTCGTCCTGGTGTGAGTCGTTCGGGGCCCCTCCTTGTGGTGTGAGTCGTTCGGGCCTTCGTGGTGTGAGTCGTTTCGGGCTCCTCGTCTTGTGTGGAGTCGTTCGGCTCCTCGTGGGGCCTCTTGGGGCCTCTTGGAGCCTCTTGGGGGCCTCTTGTTGGCCTCTCGGGTGCACTCTTGGAGGCCTCTTGGTAGCCCTCATGGGGCCATCTTGTGCCTCTTGGGCCTCTTAGGGGCCTCTTGGGCCTCTGAGGGCCTCTTGGGGCCTCTTGGGGGCCTCTTGGAGGCCTCTTGGAGCCTCTTGGGGGCCTCTTGGAGTCCTCTTGGACCTCCTGGGGGCCCTCTTGGGCCGTCTTGGGGCCGTCATTGCGACCTCCCTCAGAAGCGCAAATGACGCTGCCCCTGAAAGGACAAAAGGGAGGCCTCCAACCCTTTCGTAATCAATGGATTACCTAACACGTAGACTGATAGGTTTTCTAGTGTTTCTAGTTGACTCAAAGGAGCTCACAGATCACTCCACAGGGGGGTCCGGGCAGGCGTTGGGAGTTGCCGGCCGGCAGGGTGCCGGGCCTGTGCCGGGCTCGTTTTTCACCAACAGTCACACACTTCGTGCTCGTCGACCTCTCAGAACCCCATTCCCAGGCCATATTCTGAATAACCGGATGCAACAGTCACACACTTGGTGCTCCTTGACCTCCCAGAACGCCATTCCCGGGCCACATTCGGAATAGCCGGACGCAACAGTCATACAATTCCTCGTACTTGACACCCCAGAACTCCATTCCCGGGCCACATTCTGATTAACGGGATGCAACAGTCACACATTTCGAGCTCTTTGGCATCCCAGAACCGCATTCCCAGGCCACATTCGGAATAACAGGATGCAAGAGTTACACACTTCGTGCTCCGAGACCTCCCAGAACGCCATTCCCAGGCTACATTTGGAAAAATCGCACACAACAGGTATACACGCCGGGCTATCTGGCTGTCTGGAACGGCAATCCCGGGATACATTCAGAGTAATCCTCTTTTATTACCTAACAGCGAAGACTGATAGGTTTCTAATAAACTAAAAAGAGAGCAGCACATTACTCCACAGGGGGGTCTGGGCAGCCGTTGGGGACGAGTTGGGGTTTGCCGGCGGGGATCGTTTTTCGCATACAGTCACACACTTCGTGCTCTTCGACCTCCCAGAACTCCATTCCCGGGCCACATTCTGAATGCCCGGAGCCAACTGTAGGCCACTTCGTGTTCTTCGACTTCCAGAACTCCATTCCCGGGCCACATTTTGGATGCCCGGAGCCAACTGTAGGCCACTTCGTGCTCTTCTATTTCCCAGAACTCCATTCCCGGGCCACATTTTGAATGCCCGGAGCCAACTGTAGGCCACTTCGTGCTCTTCGAGTCCCCAGAACTCCATTCCCGGGCCAGATTTTGTATGCCCGGAGCCATTTGTAGGCCACTTCGTGGTCTTCGAGTTCCCAGAACTCCATTCCCGGGCCAGATTTTGGATGCCCAGAGCCAACTGTAGGCCACTTCGTGGTCTTCGAGTTCCCAGAATTCCATTCCTGGGCATGAATTTGAATGCCCGGAGCCAACTGTAGGCCACTTCGTGTTCTTCGAGTTCCCAGAACTACACTCCCGGGCCACATTTTGAATGCTGAGGCAGGCTGAGGCTGAGGCTGAAGCAGGCTGATGCTGAGGCAGGCTGAGGCTGAGGCTGAGGCTGATGCAGGCTGAGGCTGAGGCAGGCTGAGGCTGAGGCCGAGGCTGAAGGCAGACTGCGGCTGAGGCTGAAGCAGGCTGAGGCTGAGGCTG